GAATATTATTTAGCAATAAAAAGGAACAAAATACTTCTGTGTTTAACATGGTTGAAACTCACAGACGTAATGCATGAGTGAAAGAAGGCAAACACAAATGATTGCATGCTGTAAGATGCCATTTATATGAAATTTTAGAACAGGCAAAACTAATCTCTGGTGAAGGACGTCAGAAGAGTGGTTATGTCTAGGGGTTGGGTAATCAGTATGGAGGGGGCCCCAGGGGACTTTTGAGTGATGGGAGTGTTGGGGTACCCATAGGTATAAGTTCACTGAGATAAACCTTAGATTTATCTTACTGTATGTAAATTATATTCTAATCACACAAGAAAAAAATTCTATTATGTAAGGCGTGAACTCAGTGCTATTCCCTTCATAGAACTTATCACAGTGGTCATTTCCACGTGTGATATATGACTCGTAGTGCCACAAACCCGGACAGAGTGTGCCTTCCTTCTTCATTCTTATATCCCCAGTGCCTGGCAAACAGCAGGCTCTTGATATGTGTCTGCTGAGTGCACAGAGGAGTGGCTGGGTTAAAACCAAGCACCGTATCATGTGTTGTGAGGGGGCTGAGAAGGGAGCCTGTGAATTCTGGCCAGGGGGCAGGGTGCTTCACAGAGGAGGAGGGGACATTTGAATTACACCCCCAAAGTTCTTGGGGATTTTTCTCAGACAGAGAGGAAAGGAGAAGGGCAGGTAGACAGAGTAGCCTTCACATGCAAAGGCCCGGGGGCAGGAAGAATGGTTTGTATGCTGGAGGTAGGAGCCTTGGCTGGTGGTGGCAAGATAGGCAGGGTCTTATTTACTAGCCTCAAAAGTTTGGTTTTTAGTCTGTGGGAACCATGGACAGTGTTGAGAGAGGGCAGTCATAAAACCGGATCTGCATTTTAGAAAGATCACTGGGTTTGCAGACTGGACCCTAGTGGACAGGCTGGGAATTCTTCATGGACAGAGGAATGTCAAGCTCCTCAGGCTCTTGCCCAGATCGGGGACAGGCAACAAACGCTGAGCCTGCTGTTGGCATTCAGGTGAGACTGAGGGGTCAGACACGTTGAGCCCTAGCCCTCTGGGCTGATGAAGCAGTGCCACCTACTGGTGTGCCCTGTTCTAGGACTTTGCAGGCCATCTGGTTCCTTCTGGTCCCAGGCTGGGACAGGCCCGCCCAGCCCATGGCCTCAGAATGAAGGGCAGAAAGACCTTCTCTGGGGGACGAGTTCTCTCTCTGGTTCAGGGGCCCAAGGTCAGTACCTTGTGTAGCTGGAGGGAGGGAAAATGTTCCCCCGCACTGAGCAGACACAAACGAGTATTACTAGGCTCTGCCAGTTCTGCCTGCATTTGAATCTTATTTCTACCGCCTTCTAGTGGTGTGACCTTGAGACAGTTACTTAACCTCTCTGTGCCTCAGTTTTCTCATCTGTAAATTAGGAATAGTAACAGTGTCCACCTGTTAGGGCTGTTGTGAGTCAGCAAATGTAAAATACTCAGAGCAGTGCCTGGTACCTGGTGAGCATTCAATCAAAACTTTTATTATATTCATCTATATTATTATTATTTTTTAATCTTCATCGTCATTCAAGGCATAGACTGAAGAATGTCTGGTGCATTTGGGGGGCTCACGGGTTGGAGGCTGAGGAGTGGCCTGTGGCACAGAGGGCTGTGTGAGCTGGAGAAGGGCCTGCACATACGGCTAAGCAGCTTGGACTCTTGTGATCACAGTGGGGATGCTGAAGGGTGCAGTTCCAGAGGTATGAGCTCAGATCTACGTTTTGCAAACCTAGCCCCTGTGCACCCCTTTCTGCTTTCAGTGCCTCGCACACATGCCCTTCCAGCAAGCCTCACACTGCAGACCAGGAAACAGGCTCAGGGAGGTTAAGAGATATGTGTAAGTCCAAGTGATGAACTAGGGACAGAGCCCAAAGCCCAGGGCTTGTGCCCTGCTGCCTAGGACTCCATCTACCCAGTGGTTCTGAGGCTACCCGTTCATGGCATCAGATTCACTTAGCAGGACACAAGCAACAAGCAACTTGACCCTTGGTGCCCTGCATGTCAGCCCTGGGTGTATCCCGAAGCTTTTCAGGTTCTCTCAGTTGGACCACCAATCTTATTTCAGAAATGAATTTTAGAACTGGTGTCTTTTTTCTCCCCTAAGTAATTCCTTTCCCCCCCCCCAGTTTTATTGAGAAATAATTGATGTATATCACTGTATAAGTTTAAGGTATACAGCATGATGGTTTGCTTTATACACATCGTGAAATGATGACCACAATAAAAAATGGAATTTTTAATCTAAATTAAAGCTTCTCCCTTATCCCGGCTAGGCATGTTTCAGGACGGGATATCTGCATCAGGAAGGAGGTATGAGGGTGTGAGCCTGTGAATGAGAGCATGTGAGTGTTGAGTGTGTGAGCATGAGTGTGGGTGTGTGAAAGCATGTGAATATGTATATGTGTGTGAGTGTGTATGCATGTGACTGGCTGGTGAGTGAGTGTTGAGTGAATGAATGTGTGTATCAATGTGAAAGTGTGTATGTGTTTGTTATGCAGTCAGTCTATTCATACTCCTTGGACCCAGGCTCATCAACCCACGTAAGTCCCACCAGGCACCTGCTGCTGTGCCACAACCAACCCCCATAGGCCTACACCAGCTGCTACCTGTGGGGAGATTTGAGGGTCCAAAGGCCTGGCTTTGCTCACCAGGTCCCAGCTGTGGGCATCTCTCCATGCAGACTTCTGGGCCCTCACTCGAAGGTTCCTGCCCCTGGCTGCACATAGCCACAACCCTCTTAAATCTCCAGAAGGAAGCGGATTGGCTGGAATGTTTACAAAACATGAGTGAAGGGATTTTTTTTTTTTAAGATTTTTATTGGGGAATTGGGAGAAGGGGAACAGACAAGTTGCTGTCTTTTTGTTCTTCAGTCTAGTTATGGAGGACATTGCTTCACTGGCCCAAGTTGGCACCATCATTATGCTCTTCCCGGGTGAGGCAGATCAGTCGCCGGCTTCTGGACAGCTGCTCACTGCGGCTGCTGGCCGCTCACGCTGGCTGCCGGCTACACACGGTAGCCCATGGCAACCCACTGCCACAGGGGCTGCAGCCTACGCCATCGCCGGCGACTCACGGCAGCCCAGCTCCAGGTTGAGCTGTTGTTCAGCATCTTAGCTGTAGAGGGCAGTGTCACTGGCCCTCATATGTGGGATCCGAACCGGGGTCCTCTGGTGTCCCAAGCCAGCTCTTAACCAACGCGCCACTCGGCCGGCCCAGGGGATTTTTTTTTGTTTTTAAAGAGAAATTAGTGTAACAGGATTTTTCAGATTCAGCGCAGTATTTCTGAAATTCAAGACTTGACACGCGTGTTTTTCTGTCAACAGTCCGTCTCAAAACAGCATGCCTGCTACTACCAATTAATTCATAATTTTTCCATTCACTGATGAAGTTGCTTGGTGTCAGCAGATTTGGATTTTGTGAAGTCATCTAGTTTTGCTTTCAAGGGGAAGTTGTGCCAACTTGATTTTCCCCAACTTGATTAAGCAGGAAAGTGATAATGATGCATGTTAATAGGAAGCAAATAATAAGGCCGAGTTTGCCTCTTGTGAAATTTGGCCATACATGTTATATTCGCTATTCTTGGAGTTTCACAAAATTCCAAAATAAATTTGATACAAAATAAGCATCAAACTTATTTTTAAGGAAAAATTGAAAACTGTAGGGTTATGAAATCTGACCATGGAATCCACAGCAGTTTGCAGAACGTTTTATGGCTGTAAGAGTCCCACGACTGGGTTGTAAATTTGCATTGAAGTCTCTCTCATCCATTAGGCTGTGATTTTCTTGAGGACGGGGACTCAATTTTTTGTTTTTTGGGTTTTTTTCTAAGATTTTTTTAGGGAATTGGGAAAGGGGAACAGCCAAGTTGTCCTTCAGTCTTTCTTAGTTGTGGAGGGTGCAGCTGGCTCAGCTCCAAGTCCAGTAAGCCATCTGGCTGCCCATGGGCAGCTCAGGGCAGCTCAGCTCAAGATGCCGTGTTCAATCTTAGTTGCAAGTGGGTGTAGTCCACCATCCCATGCTGGAGTCAAACTAGTAACCTTGTTGTTAGGAGCACATGCTCTCACCAGCTGAGCATCTGGTCACCTGTTGGCAGCTCAGCTCAGATGCAGCTCACTGGCCCATGTAGGAATCAAACCGGCGACCCTGTTGCTTAGAGCTCGCTCTCTTAACCAACTGAGCCACTTGGCTGGCCCGGGGACTCAGTTTTAAATCAGTCTGCGACTACAGTATAGCATGTAGTTTGTGCTCAATAAGTGTTCATTGGACGAATCAACAAGAAGAAATAACTATTGGGAAAAAGATCAGAATTCAGTGACTTGTGGGTGGTTGGAAGTTGTGCAGATTACTTTTCTTTTCCTTATTCATTATCTTGGTCAATGTCTTAGCTTGGGCTGTCATAACAAAATATCATAGCCTGGGTGGCTTAAACAACAGAAATTTATTTTCTCAGGCAGCTGTCTTTTGCTGTGTCCCCACATGGCCTTGCCTCAGTGCATGTGTGCAAGTGACTCTTTCTCCCTTTTCTTATAAAGCCACCAGTCCTACTGGATTAGCGTCTCACCCTTACAAACTCATTTCACCTTAAATATGTCCTAAAGTCCCTATGTCCAAAGACAGTTACCTTGGGGGCTCATGGCTTCAACATATGAATTCCAGGGGACACAATTCAGTCCCTAGCAGTCAGTGTGCAGGACGTTTCCCCATCATAGGTGGTTACCCTTGGAGACTTTCAGGAAGACAGAGCTGGAAGGGACTCTAGAACACACTTGGCATAGAGAGAGGTGGTCATTTGCCCAGGGCCACACAGCCAGCGGCACAGAGCTGGGGTGATGGGCTGGACTGGCTGGGCAGCTCCCAGAGCCCTGGGCTGGGCCAGCTCTGCAGGGATGGAGTCCAGGGGTGGGCAGCTGGGTGCTCACACTGTCCTGACGTTGACCTTGTGTTAGTTACAGGACTCTGATTAGACCCACATACAGAGTGTCCTACCGAACGGTGACGGCGCTGGAGTGGAGGTGCTGCCCTGGCTTTACTGGGAGCAACTGTGATGAGGGTGAGTCCACTGGGGCATGGAGGGCAGGGGCCGGGACACTGGCTGGGCTAGGCTTCAGAGTCCTGGGTGCTTCTTCCTCTGCCCTCCTCCTGTGAGGAGAAATGTTCCTCCACATTTCTTTCTTCCTTTTCCCAAGCACCTCAGAACCAAATGCTCTGGACTGGCCAGACTCGGGTGGGTCTGCCTTGCTCATGGCACTGAGGTGGGGTCCTTGTGTGCATAGTTTGGGTAGGGGATGGAGGAGACCCATGGGCCCTGGCCTGGGGAAAGGCGTTCACCTTATAGCCTATTTCTTCCTCCCTGGTTCTGACTCACCCAGAAACTGGGGCAGAAACTGAGCAGGAAGTTCAGGCTCTGAGCAAATGCAGACGGGGGTCCACCAGCCTTGGAGCCACGTCTGTTGTAGAACGAGGCAGATGAACCTGGTGGTGGGCGGCAGCAGAAGGAAGGCCTCTCCAGGCTGCTCTTGCTGTTCTGCCCAGCTGGTGCCCAGAGGGAGAATGGGAGAACGGGGCCCGGAGCCGAGCTTTCTTTCTGAGACCTTGGCTGGGCTCAGCCAGGCGCTGGAGCCTTATGGAGATGGACAACTGCACTTGGGTGGAAGTCAGAGAAGGCCATTGGCAAATCTCTGCTCACAGCCAGGGAAAGCAGGTCCTGCCTAAATATCACATTGTTAACATAGATTGGCATGTCCCAAGGTTCCCAGGTCAACGAAGCCACTTTTATCAGGCAGATCATTCCAAGAGTTTAGAGATCATCTCCCAGGAGCCATGTGCAAATGCCAGACCTCTTTATGGGTAAGGTTAATCCATTACTGATATATGCATTACATTTTATAATCCATTATATTTTATATTTAATTATTTATATTATATATCATTATATCTATACATTATATATGTTATATATAATATTAATATATACACAAATGTATAATGTGAAATATATTATATAATATATATGGACTAAGAACCTGAAATAATATCACTATAGGACAATAAAAACTAAAACTTTTGGGGCTATCCTCTCTAATGAGCAGAAAGCACTTAACATCTTACCAGCTTTGTACAAGTTAACACCCAACATTGCAGAACCTAGGCTGTAATCCATAGTACATGGTAAATAAACAAAGTGGCATTCTTCCAGGGAGTCAGTGACACTTAGGCAGGCTCATTAGAAGGTGCTCTAGCATGACATGAAAAGGTTAGGCCATCACCTTTTTGCCCTATTTCTGTTTGGGATAAGCCTTCTTGCCAGATGAGTGGAAGCCCAGAAGACACATGTCCACCGCAGAGTGCAGGACGAGCTGTGCCTTTTTCAGAGCGCCTCAAGGTCAAGTGGCTCCTTAGTAGCTGTGAGCACAAGGTCCCGAGTAGTCAAGGACTCCAGGGAGTGTGAGGGCCTGGGCTGAGTTTGGGACTGGGTCCTGAAAGCCTTTGTAAAGATTCTACATTCCCGAAAACAAAACAATAAAGACAAAAAGCGAAATCAAGGCGGGGCCTGTGACTTGAAGCACATTCCTAAGATAGTTGTGAAGCATCCGGGGCCATTTATTCCCACTCAGTCCCATTGCTGCCTCTCTGGAAAGCCTGCACATCAGAGGTGTGTTTTGCTTTGGCTCAGATGAGATTCGCCAGGAAAAGCATCTTTTTCTTTGGCCGTGTCTGGCCTTCCTTTCAAGTGCTCAGGTCTCTGGTCTTATGACTCGGGACTTGTGACTGCCTAGGGGTAGTGTGCTCCCGCCTCCCAGGTGGCCTCTTTCTGTGCCTGCTTCCTCCTTTCTGTGTCTCCCTAGGTCCCCCTTCCTACTGGCCTTTTTTCTTCCCTCCCAAGACACCTCAGGAGTACAGGCCAAGGGCTTGGGGATACTATTCTTCATAGATATGTCTATATATAGTTGACCCTAATTATTTACAGATTCTGTATTTGAGAATTGGCCTATTTGCTAAAGTTTACTTGTAACCCCCCAAATCAATAAATACTTGCGGCATTTTTGTGGTCTTTCACAGATACACACAAAGTGGCAAAAGATTTGAGTTGCCCAACTTTCATACTCCCAGCTGAGGTCGCAATGACTCTGCCTTCTTTCAACTATTATACTGCAAACAAGTGTCCTTTTCACTATCCGTTTAGTGCCTTGTTTTTCACATTTTTATGCTTTTTTCGGTGATCCCACTGTTTAAAATGTTCCCAAGCATAGGGCTGTCTAGTGTTCTTAAGTGCAAAAAGGCTATGATGCGCCTTTTGTAGAAAATACATGCGTTATATGAGATTTGTTCAGGCATTGGTACTGTTGGCTGTGAGCTCAATGCTAATGAATCAATCATATATATTTAATGAGGTATTTTTAAATAGAAGTACACATGAACCAGGGTTACTTATTGATCAGTCAATGAAAACATTGTGACTGGACGCTTGTAGGTAGAAGCCTAACCGTATATATCCCCTAAGAGCAATGGTTCAGTATTTGCTAATTCAAAGTTCCCGGTGTCTTTATAGAACATAACTACCATAAATAATGAAAATTAACTGTATCTATGAATCTTTATCTATAACTATATTTATATAGCTAGAAATATTTTTTTCTTATTACAACAGCAAGTACATGTTCAGTGTAGCAAAAGTTAAAACATCCTCTTAAAATAACCTCAAGCCTCACTTCTGTGAAATGCCTTCAGACCTTTTTCTGTACTTATATGTCAGTTGTAATGTACATGGTGTTTGATAACTTTCTTTTTCACAAAAGTTGTCATGAACATCTCTCCTTGTTAATACATAGCTTTCTATAGTATCATTTTTAGTGGCTGCGGAATTTGGTTGCACACTTTATTAACTACACACCACTATTACAAGATAGTTAAGTTGCTTCCAATTATTAAATTATTAATAACATTGTTGTAAACATCTTTTTTTACCTGAGGTAAAATTAACATACATGGAAATGCACTAATCTTAAATGTACAATTTGATGAGTTTGATAAATGCATAAACATTTCCATCACCTTTCAGATAGTTCCCACCCTTAAGCAGCGACTGATCTAATTTCTATTGCCATAGATCAGTTTTACCTATTCTTGAACTTCATATAAATGGAATCATACAGTATGATTCCCTTTTGTGTATAGTTTCTTTCGCTTAACATAATTTTTGAGATGTGTTTGTGCTGTTACATGTTTATTCATTTTTGTTACTAGGTATTATTCCCTTGTATAAACCATCACAATTTTATTCATTCATTCGCCTATGAATATTTGGGATGTTTCTAGTTTTTGGCTTTATGAAGAAAGCTTCTGTGTACATTCTTGTATATGTCTTTTTGTGGACATATGTTTTTATTTCCCTTGGGTAAATCCCTAGGAGTGGAATTGCTAGGTTATGGTATATGTTTAACTTTATAAGAAAGAGCCAAACTCTTTACCAAAGTGGTTCTACCATCTTACACTTGTTGCAGTTGCTGCACATCCTTGTCAACATTTGGTGTTGTCAGACTTTTTTATTTTAGCCATTGCAGTGGTGTGAAATGCTCTCTCTCTGTGAGTTTAATTTTCATTTCCCTGCTAACTAATGATGTTGAGCATCTATTTGTATGCCTACCTGATATACTTACCAGTCATTCTGATATCCTTTTTGTGTGTGTGAAGTGCCTGACTAAGACTTTTGCCCATTTTAAATTGAGTTGTTTAATTTTATAAGAAACAGCCAAACTTTTTTCCAAAGAGGTTTTTACAGTTTACATTCTCACAAAGTATGTTCCAATTGTTCCACATTCTTGCCAACATTTGGTGGTATTAGTCTTTTTAATTTTAGCTGTTCTAGTGGGAATGAAATGGAATGTAATTGTAGTTTCTTCTTTTTTAAGACTGTTTTGACCACCCTAGTTCCTTTGCATTTTCATAAAAATTTTACAATCAACTTATCAATGTCTATAAAAAGTGTCTGTTGGGACTGGGATTAGGATTGTGATAATTTATAGACAATTTGGGGAGACTGTATATCTTAATACTGAGTCTGCTGATTATTGAACATGGTATAGCTCTCCATTTATTTAGGCCTTTAAAAGTTTTACTCAGCCATGTTTTGTAGTTTTCAGAGTAGAGAGCTTGCTTGTCTTTTATTAAATTTATTTCTAAATATTTCGTATTTTTGGTGCTTTTAAAAATGGAATTGCTTTTTTTTTTTTTAAAGATTTTATTGAGGAATTGGGGGAGGGGAACAGGCAAGTTACTGTCCTTTTGTTCTTCAGTCTAGTTGTGGAGGATATCACTTCACTGGCCCGTATTGGTAATATCATTGCACTCTTCCCGGGTGAGGCAGATCGGACGCCGGCCACTGGATGGCCGCTCACTGCGGCTCTTGGCAGCTCACACCCGTTGCCTGCCGCTCTCGCCGGCTGCCAGCCACTCATGGTAGCTTTATGGGAGCCCCACTGTAGCCTCACTGACAGCCTATGCTGTCGCCGGTGACTCACGGCAGCCCAGCACCAGGTTGAGCTGTTGTTCACCATCTTAGCTGTAGAGATGTCAGCTGTCAGCAGCATCACTGACCCTCATGTGGGATCCGAACCGGGGCCCTGCTGCTCAGAGCTGGCATCCCAAGCCAGCTCTTAACCAACGCGCCACTCGGCTGGCCCTGGAATTGCTTTTTAAATTTTCATTTTCTAATTTTTTTGCTGCTAGTATATAGAATATATTTGATTTTAAAATATTTACATTGTATACAAAAATCATGATGAATTTATTTATTAGTTTTAGTAGCTTATTTATTGATTCCTTAGGATTTTCTACAAAAACTATCATGTACTCTGTGAATAAAGACATTTTTGCTTCTTTCTTTGAAATCTTTATGACTTTTATTTCTTCTTATTGCCTTATTGGGCTGGCTAGAACTTCTAGTAAAATCTTTACTAGAAGTGGTGAGAACAGACATTTGTCCAGTTTCTGGTCATAATAGGGAAGTTCTCAATATTTCATTATTAGGTATGTTGTTAGCAATAGATATTT